ACACAAACCAAAAAATCGTTATGACATCATAAAGTGGCCAAAATCTGATGAGCTCATTTTCAGACAGGTTTTTATATAAATGGATCAGGACAAAAAGAGAGAGAATCTTTTTTCCTGAAACTTTCAGAATCTCTTTTTACATAGGGGACACGTTGATGTATAAAAGACATGAAAAAGTGGATTTTGCATAATAGGTGACCTTTAAGATAAAAGTGAAGTGTGGCTTGTGGCCACATAGACTGGCAGTATATGTATAAGCTAGGAAACTAACAGACTCATAAAACACACAGTCCTGAGAAAGCCGACATTACTTTGTTTAAAGAAAAAAAAAAATTTCAGAAAAACTGCTTCTATTATATCACATCTCTGACTAAATGTAACACACGCCAAGTAGTGGAACGCACACACACACACACACACACACACACACACACACACACACACACACACACACACACACACACACACACACACACACACACACACACACGGACATACACAGTGTTTGTGTCTGCCTGCCAGCTGTGCTTCAATGTCAGCATCCAACTAAGACAATTTAGCATAAACAAAACACAAGGCCAAAACTAAAGAACCAAAAAGTGAGTGAATGAACAAACAACAGAGAGAAAGTGTAAGCAACACACTGGTAGCAAACTCAAGATAAATAAATGGAGTAGGTGTCAGAGGCAATGACAAATAGAGGAGGACAGAAAGTGAAAGAGGGCAGAAAGAAGGAGCGCAGAAGAGATTGGGGTACAGATGATGGAGAGGGGGAGCAGCAGACAGACTGTGATGGAGATTAGGAGCCCTGTGCAGTAGTGTGCTACTCCGCCCGGCGACAGGAGGACAGGCAGATCTGATTGGTGTACAAAGAAAATCTCTCAGAGAACGTGTCGGGGCGTCAAACTCAATCCCACCCTCAGCGAGCTAACAAAATGCAATGATTGACAGCTGTGGGATTGCTCTTCAAGACAGGCAGAGAATAAGAGGGCGAGACAGAGAGACTGGAGGGAGAGAAATAAGGGAGAGACAGGGAGGTGGGGAGGAGGCGAAACTCTGGGAGACGAAGCTTGGGGGTAAAATTGAAATGTCAAACTATCAAATGACGGCTCCCGTCTCTGGCATCTTAATGGGAATGCTGGGTAAACTCTCTTTCCTGGCTCCCAAACAGAGCACAGCTGTCTGTATGCGTGCATCAGTGTGCATGTGTCTGCGTGCATGTAGCAGTTCCCATTGGGACGGATGCAAACACACACTCAGCTTTTCCCCAAAATCCCAAGACATATCTAGATAGATGCACAACACACTCTCAAGAGCAATCATGCAAATGCAAGCACTTAGAGTGACATACTAAATCATACAAATAGAGTTTATATATTGTAACATGAAATATAGAGATGATACAAATTAGGAGAGCATAACAAAATATGAATATGACTGTGACATATTTGGGTTTTTCCCTCAGCTCAGATATATGAGAGTAAAGCAGTAATGTTAGACAGTAAGCCACGGGACTGTCCTCCACTGTCACACTCAGTTACAATGGGCCGGCTTATTGGAATTCAGCAAGTGTGTGTGTGTGTGTGTGTGTGTGTGTGTGTGTGTGTGTGTGTGTGTGTACCGTAATTGCTGAACCTCACACTGAGATGTTAAGGCCAAATCTGACAGTTAATTGTGGCTAATTGTGTAACAAGCTAGCAGGCAAGGCTTATAACTGCAAGAGAGGAAGAAAGAGAGAGAGAGGATAGTATTTTCATTTCTGGAGGGCTTATGACTGCAATGTGACTAGCCATTGTATTCTTTATTTTCATATATTCACATGTTTTCAACAGTCTTCCTCTGGGACTCTTTTCCGAAAAGTGATGCATGCATATTGGATGTAAAGTGGGTTTCATAAATTACTTAAAATACACATTCAAGCACTGCTCCTCTGGTGCTTTGAAGTACGTTAATGGTACACCATAATGTTTCTAGTTACACCTACTCCTTTTCATTAGAAGATGGATCAAACTTTGAAACCACATGAGGATTATTTTTCATTAAGTGTTGGGCTCTTTCATTTCATATTTTATTCTTAGTGTGAGATTAGAAGGTGGATATACACAGCTTCAGTAAGGACAACTGGTTGTTGTCTGGGATGATAATGCCAAATAATAATACAAAATAAAGTGAGAGGGAACAGACACATGTTTAGTTATGAGAGTGGAACAGAGGGTAATCACCTGTATAGTGGTAATTCCCAGGTCCCGTCCAATCAAGGTTCTTCCATCTATCAATCTGGCAATGCGAGGATCTTCTACCTGTGGATCACAGAAACAGCCACCACAATTAATATAATTTTTCATTAATAACCATGAGGCTTTGCAATGCATTCATCTTGGATTTGTTTTACATTCAGTTGCTTGTGCTTGCTTTTATTCAATACGTAAATCAAGGAAGAGCTAAAGTTAAGGCCAACATTTATGGAAACATATAGCTTCTATCCCATATATCTTTTGAGGAACTGGATACCAATCTTAGATATGAAGTGGTATTCATTTTCTCATCTGACTCTTAGAAAGCAACTAAGTACTGTTTTAACAATCGTTGATCTATTCCTATAAGGAACATTTGGCATTTGTACGTCTTTGTGACAGAAAAACATTACCTTTAACTGGTCGTAGACCAAATGAGTAATATCAGCTTGCCAGTCCGCACCCAGCATGAAGACCATCTCACCTCCGGGGTCAGAGGGTTCTGCGACAAAATGAGTGAGGACTCGCACCA